CTTGCGCGTCCTTAATCGGGCCACGATAATTGTAGCTGTAATACTTGGTTTTTGGAACACAACTATGGTTGTTTGATCCTGATTTATACACTTTCTGATTACTCCATTAAGCTATCACCTTATAGCATTGCTTAGGCAGTATAACCGTTTGGACATTCAACTGTTTTTAGTTGAATTCTAATAACGGTTGATTATATCATTATTGTTCAAGCAAGACTTTTTTGAATTAACTTCCTCCCCAACTGTACAGCATTATCAACGAATTATAAGCATAAATACTAGTTTGCTAAACTCCGGATAGTCAGATGATAACAAACTAATAAGAGAAATCTCAATACTGTTGACGCATAATTTCTCAATATGTAAGTACATATAACTGTAAGATGTAAATATAGTCTGACAAATCATCATAAAATGTATGAAAGATTTATTCTGTCATTCTACACACAAAAATGGGGTAGGAAATGATCATTTCATTCATTTTACAAACAACTGTTTACAGAATTGTCTCTACTTACTATGTTTATTTACTTTTTTTTCCTTTTCAGTTAAAGGCTATTACTCTGCATGACGTCGTTACAAATAACATAATGTTGATTATGATATTCAGTAACGGTGATAAAGCTGGACTCTTGTGGACGAATCTGTAACTAACACGTCCGTTAAAGTCTACTTCAGTCTCTCAAGATTCCTTTTGCTAAAAGGCATAGCAATCTTACTGACACTAGAATTTATCAATATTATATCATACCTTTTTCAACTGTCTATCTCACAAACAAGATTGGATGAGATAATATGCATAATGTATACATTATGTAAAGTAATTTCGTGATTCATTGAGAAAATGTATGTGAAGTAATAACTTTTACTCAAGACATGTAAAATCTAACCATATTCTATTCCCCATCAATGACTATGACCAAAATAATAAGACAAGTATTCGACTGACTAATTTCAGCAAGAAACGTTACGTGTATGTATGACAGTAACTTGATTAACAGTCAGGGTTCATGCTGTAATCTATGCGCAGATTATTAAAGCGATGAAATGTCAATGTGATAGACATTCATGCTAAAGTAACTGGTTGGGCAGTTACTTTGAATACAATTTAGCGATAGTAATGTGTCACGAATTCATATGGTAGTTAGACAGAAGTCTTGGCGACTGAAGTAGAACTAGGGCCTGGTCAACAGAAAGGTTTCGTAGCTCACTTGTTAGGTTACCATATAGGAAACTTGAAGACCACTGGTTCGAATCGTGCCGTGGCTAAGACCTTCATTTCGTCCTTAGACATCATCCAGAATTACCTTACTTTGCAACCAAAGTAGTATTAAACACTGACGACCTCTGTCTTTTAAAATAACTCCAGAAAATGAAATAACCACGCGGAGTTTTTGTATTTCGATTATTAATACTGTATTCACTTCAGTTGTTTTACGCTAAGCTGGTGTGTCCCACCGCATATAAACCATTTTATCACACAAGGTTGCCTAACCAGTGTCTTCCTTAAAATGAACCAGCGAACATCCTTTTAAACAGTAGATGATTACTGGGTATACATTTTGTAACCTTGACAAGAAAAAAGACTCAGGGTTTTATTTTGTATAATCTGTAATTGTAAGGTAGTTGTGAATATTAAAACATACACCATCAAAAGATATCGTTTATCTAATTGACTGTCGTTCAATTCTACCGCAGGTTATGTAGTTTTCAATACAGGCACTAATAAAATTCTAATTTTTTGCTGCCATTAACCTGCTTTATAATTTGTGGAACAACTAGCCACAAGGTATCTTTAATTTCTGAAATAAGATCTAATTTTTCCACTGACAGAGAAGTTAGGCTAAGATTCGTGTCCTTTCTTAACATCTCAAAACTTGCGTTACATCATGCTACTTTGTTCTTTTCTCTGCAAAACAATAAGGGCACTAGTGAAGATTAACAATCATTGCAATCACTTTTGTCTTGTACAGTCATAAAGTAAAGTTAGTACTTGGAGTAAAGTGATGTATAGCAAAGGGAGGTTTGTAGGTCATTGACGTAGAAGGATGAGGATCTGCAAGTTTCCCTACAACCATCTTTATATTTAGTAAGAATGTTTCAGTTGTCAGTGTCCCACAAAATTGACTGTATTTGTCTCCTAGCCACATTATTCAAACGGATAATCGCCAACACTGATCAAAGTAATTGTTCGGTACTAAAAAGTCTAGAAAGCCTCTCTCTCTCTCTTAGGAAATGAGGTTTGCGGAGGTCACATTAAAAGTGGTATGTATCTTAATTTCATAAGAAAACTCATTAATATTTCCTTCCATTAACATCTGTATCAATGACAGGAAGCCCAATTCTACAGTCAGTTTTATGTCAAATTCATAAAGCGTGACGATTTATCGAATTCTACCTTTTTACTTGATTACAGTTCAATCGTATCAAATAAGAAATTTGAAGGGGAATCTGTATGAATAATTCATATTTAAAGGTAGGTAACGCATGCAAATGATATGAAACCCAAGTTACAGCAGAAGTTGAATATGAGTTTGACGGTTTACCTCAGTTGGCAGAAGATAAGAAGGTTGATAGTTTGAATTCTGCTGTTATCTTTGTTTATATTTTAATTCATTCCCGATGTCTGAGTTCGAAGAATCTACTTCGGTGAAAGTCGCCGTTCTTATTCAGCTAAAAGTATTCGTCTATGGATTTTTTTAATGCCATTTATTAGATACTTATTCCGTGTCATTAAATATCACGAAAAAGTAATTTATCTAGGAGCACACACTCGTTTACATCTCTCTTCATGAACCTATCGAAAACACATGAGAGTGAAAATCATTCATCGAACTGTTGCACACATTTTTCGGTGGTTCCTGGCTGAAAAAAACTTTTTTAGATTTTCATTGACATGCGTTAATGTGACAAAACTCTAACAGTATGGCTTTGTGACACATCCACCGTCATAATTTCTAGGAAATATCTACGGGATTTCTTTGCAAACCTGTTTATCACAGCATAAAATTAAATGTTAGGCACCGAATAGCACTATATGGATGACGTAGGTCTCATAAAAATGTAACTTTTTCATTCAAAGTAATTTTTAAATAAAAACCCTTTGATCTTGATTGGCATAAAACAATATTGTCTTGCAAAACCTCAGTCGATAGAAGAGTACCTACTCTTGTCATTCACTATACAGTTTGCCCACCTATTTTTAATTCACTTTTCAAACGACATGAGTTTCACTGGAAGTACAAAAAAAGCAAAGTTAGATGCATTGCCATCTCTGGCTAATAAAGTCTAGCCGATTATATTTCTCACAAAGTTTTCTGAAACAATATAGTAACATGCAGTACCAGTCGCTTAACAGAATAAGAGTTTGTAGAGAGGAACTTATCGTTAACTAAACCATTTGAAACATGTAAGAATTTCGATAACTTCTTTCATGTTAATTAATGAATATATGAAGACAATAAACAAACTTTGAACAATGTATTCGTTTTAAAATGGAATTATGGTTTAACTGATGCTTGTACATAGGAACATGCACTTAATACACACAAAACAGATGAATAAGTTCGTAAATCAGGCTGTCATCAGAAAGCAGAAATAATTTTGATAACTGTGTGGGACTAAGAATGATGAATGGCATACTTCTGATTTTTATCAAGTCAAGTAAGATTGGCAAAGACACTAATCTGTTGTTTTTTCTCAAAAATCTTAAAACTTGCTTGATTCTTTTATTCTATATGAATACATATATCTTCAGGGTTAAAAAAGGTCAAGAAGTAACCTTCGCTAGATAGCTGTATCAAATTGTCTTGAGGTTTAGCTGTAATATTTATTAAAATTGTCACAAATAAAAATATGAAAGTTTAGTGTGTTAGATAGTTGACATGTTTGTCTACCTTTTCAAATGATACTTTGTGATTGCAACTTCTAAAGCAGTTGTAGTAGTCATATGTAGGTACGTCTACTAAGCAATGAACCACATCTATTTTGTTACGACCAACAATACTACGTCAGATGTGATCCAGTAATGAAAAACGCTAAGAGTCAAGTCAATGATCCATATCTCCTACTTATTGTTTTTCTGGTATACTGGAATCTTGGTAATTCTGAGAACTAGTTTTCTTTTCCAGTTGGTTTATTAGTTTTAATAAAACACCTATACGAAACAAGTGATATCCTTTAAACAAGCTCCACTTACAAGTAGACTGTTTGCTCTGCATTAATGTTAAGTAAAGTGACTTGGAGCTTGAAAATGTCCAATGAAACAGTAACTGGATCAAATTCTGAATCCCAGTGGTCGACTACATGATCATTATCTAAATCTATGTAACTGTTAACAAAGAGATTATCAGAAAAGTACATATTAACAGTTTTCAACTGATTAGGACAGTGTGACTTTGTTCTTCAGTTGGAGAACCTATCCTTTGGAAGTTTATTTATTAAGGTACTCGAATATAACCAAATACCACTTGTACCTCTGGTGTTTTATACCACTTTATCAGTCTGACTGTATGACATAGCCATCGTTTGGTAGACTTGCACTGATAATGAGTGATTAATGAAAGTGAAATAAAAACTTGGGCCACAGCTAAGTTCAATCAGATGAAGAGTCCTGAACAGGAAGCCATATTGAGTACAATCAAGCGAGAGAAACGTGTTATGAATTCACATGGCAGTCTGGTTGATTAAAGTATTTTCAAGATCTAGCAGTAGTCAGATCTCGTAGTTCAGTTGGTACCAGGCCAGAAATCCTACGGTCGTCAATTTCATTACTGCAGCTATCCAGGTTTTCACTTCACCTCTTATCATAAACCAGTATCTATAATATTTTAATTGCCTGAAAATTCACCCTTATATACTATTCTTCACGAGAATCATTTTGTATCTGCCAGACAACAGTTTTTCATTTGGATTTACATACACATATCCATAGAGCAGGTTTTAAATAAACTATGGACTGATTGTATTCACTGACAAATGATCAATAAATGACTACTCACCTTTCCAAATTGACTAAAGTATTCACTAAGTTCTTCATTTGTTGTTTGAGTTGCAACCCCACCAATAAATACACGTTTAGTTCTTGTGGATAACTACAAAAAGAGAAGTAATAAATAAAATAAGCCTTATAATATCTAAAGAAAACATGTATCATTGATGTAAACTTTGCAGACTGATTATAAAGCTTACTATATTGTGATCATTACAGAAATGAATTGAATTTGATTTCTAGATTCCATTTCATGTTTTTATTGCTAAGTGGTATAAAGCATTATTACTATTGTTATTATAGTCTGTGTGGTCATGATGTTTTTAGTTTTCCCTTTACCATACAGAACTGATTTTCAGACACTTGTTAAAACTAGATATACTGTTTGCCTAACTATTTTAAGAATCATTCACTTGAAGCTGAAATCATTTTGTTGTTTTATTACTGTTAATCTTCACAACTCGATGTCAACTTTTGATATTGTTCTTTGTAAAAAGCCTTTCTTCTGGTTTACCATCAAAATTGATGTGTACGTGACTAATCGTTGGGAAAAATCTCAAAGCTAAAGACATTTAAATTTATATTTTCATCAGTGTTCAAATGAACAGACTTAGAGAAAGTTATTATCAGGAAAAACGACCCATATTTTATGTTGCCTTAAGCCCTAACTTGACATGATCTATTCATCAAGTTCAATCAATTTTATGCCGAGTAAATATTATCGGCTTAAATAGTTTTCCATGTTGAATAGGATGATTTACAAACTTATGTCTTGATTACTTTTACATAAGGCAGTATGCATTGACAAAAGTGGATATTTACTTTCCCACTTAGATTGAAGTAAAACAAATAAATGTATTGTTGAAAAGAAGTAAGACGTAAAATGTAAAATTGACATTTCTTTGACAAAGTAATGGATATAAGATCTGTAGGTTATTTGGGTCACAAAAAGTTCATCACAAATAGCAATATTACAGTCGAAGTTTCAAAATCCACAAAGCTCGCAGACTTTACTCATCAAGAGATACTTATCAAAGTGGTTGAAAGAGAATACAAATCAACATCGCATAACTTATTCGTTTGATGACTTAACAGATAAATTAATGAAATAATTCAACGTAGAGTAAATGATATGACAGGATAATGACATATTTCTTGGTAATCTTGAAAATAAGTGAACATTGTGAGATTATATTTATTTAAAAACTATTCTACAGTGAATCACTGACATCTGAATTGATCCACTCAGTTCGCAAGGTAAAAAAAAACAGATAAAGTAAGCAAAAAAGTGGTAAACAATATTCCTAGACGTTCACGATATTCTTCTTTCATATAATATAGATTATCTACATATGAGTTATTTACAAAGTTAATGTATTATCAAATAGTTAATTATTCCTGTCTGAGTACATATATACATAATATACGTGATGTATAAACTTGGAATAGACAATGCATTAGGATTATCGCAAAAGATACTAATGAACAGAGTCTTACATTGTCGAATATGTTTAATCTATGATCAGCCTACAGCTGTACACAATGAAACTATTACTACTTAGATGACGAAAAAGAATGACCTTTGGTGTTCTATCAGTCATAGCTTATCAAATCAATTATCCAGTTTTTCAGATGCTTATTTATTACATCAATATTGTGAGCAAAATTTACCTGTAAATTAAAATCTTGTTCAACAGATTTTAATTAAATAATTCAAGCAAATTGATTAACGTTCAAACTTCTGTATGAATCAGTTAACTGGATTAGGTCATGTTAGGACAGTGAATGAATGCATACTCAAGATAAGAAGATAAAAAGCAAAATAAGATTATCTAAATCAGCACTGTCATATAGTTTGTAAAGGATTCATCTAAACATGACATTTATCACAGTTAAATAAGGTTAGTTGAATGGAAGAGATCGACAGGAAGCCCTGCTTAAACTAGGTTTTATGCTTTTCAGCACTCATGAGCACCGCTACGGGACTGATGTCTCGCCTGGGATTCAAACTCACGTCACTTGGTGATTTTACCTCTGAGGTGTTCGAGTCACCATTGACTTCTTGTAGGACTGGGTTAGATATATTGATCGGTCACTGGGGGTAATCAATTTAATAATATCCGGTTTTATGTGTTGATGGAATGCTGTCGGCCATTTTATAAAGTAGCCATCAAACTAAGAGAACTATCAGTATGATGCACTAAGAGATGTGTTAATTAGATGAAGGCTTCTTGCCAACTAAGGCTTTATCCAACTAAAATCTCAGCCTCCTAGCCTGATGATCACACTGCAAAACGACTGGTAGAATTCGATTATCACACAGCTACATAATGTGAGTTGGATTATCCCTCAGTGACCAACCAAATAAATTTTCTTTATCTTCCGTCACGTTAATAAGAATGAACATTAGCAATATTGGTATCAACTCATGTAAATATTAGCCTGGATTTCATCATAGAGATTACTTAGGCTAATCTACCTAAAAAGTGATAACTTAAAAAATAAGCTTCTATAACGTTTCTGAAAACTCAAAATACATTGAGTATGAACTGATCTTAGTTCACTTCACACTGAAAGATACACCATTTATTTCAAACCGTCATATTTTATTTTCAATTCTTGCTGCTTTCAACCTCATCTTTTGTTGATCCATACCGGATTCAGTGGAATGATAATTTCAAAGTAGTATAACTTGTTATTTAGTTGAAGGGTTAGTCGATGGAGTTTAAGATGAATTTATTTCAAGCAATGTTACCAATTACTACTACTCACGCAATCTGTATGAAGGGTGATACACACTTATAAAAGACAGTTGATCCTAGCATTGACTGAGTCAACGCAAGAAAAAGAAGGCGCAATGACCGGAAATAAATTATTAGAATGATATCAGAATGCAGATAAAAGTCGATGCGCAATAAAAGGATTTGACTAATGTAATCATAAAATCCATAATTTACCTATTTATTCAATAATTTTACATGGATATCAATTTTTTGTTTCACAGAGGCATAGACAAGTAAACAGCTTTACATTCCCGGAGTAAACTTATGATTGCTTTCTAACAAAGATTTTGGATCAAACAATGCACATAAGCTCAACTTTAGGATTCAACGAGTGACCTAAAGGCTAATTTTCCCACAAATATACTTGATTTACAATCATTTCAGTTATTCAGCCATGCTCTATATTCCTAAGCCTTAAGATAATTCTCTTGACTTTAACTTAACTGTAACAGTTTCTAGAAAAGCAAATCAAAGATAAGGTGATGGCATTGCTTTGTTGTATAACAACTTTTTGTTAGCTAAACAAGGTTGCATGGTGATCAATTACGAAATGAAGAATATTCAGCTTTTGTATCAAGTATGACTGAATGCAAAAGCAGATTGAAATTGGAATGTACTTAACTAGGCTACTGCATCCCAAGTGCTTCAGTTTTATTTAGACAAGACAAATCGTATTACAATCGTAGACAGTTAAGTGAAAGCTTATCTCTTACGCTTTTGATAGTATTTAGTATGTGAGTAATGAAACTTATTGATTTTTCAAATTATCATTACTGAGGATTGTAGATAAGGTGTGAACCACTTATTTAAACCAAAGGCCCAGACTGGTGAACAACTAAAAGTTTACTGAAAATTATTGTGGATTTAATTTCTTGGCACATGTTGGGTTGAAATCCGCGACCATCGGGTTTCCAGGTTCAGTGCTCTGCCAACTGAACTACAAGAACCGATAGCTGAAAAGATTTTTATTTCACTTCAGTCACCAAGACTTTGCCCGACAGCTAATTGAATTTGTGACGAGTTACTGGCCCTTGACCGTACTCCATCTGCACATACAGTCATCCCAATCAAATCTACTTGGAGAGGAGAGCATCATAGTGATTATAAGTCTGATTAAGTAGTATAGCCATGATTTGGCCGACCAGAAGTGATACTGGGTAAGAATCGAAGGTGAAGTGAAAATCTCGGCAACGGCAGGACTCGAACCAGTGACCACTGGGTTTCCGATTCGGTGTTCTAACCAATAAGCTAAAAGACCTGACTGCTGACCACATTTCCATTTCACCCTTGATCATCACCCAGTATTATTATGTCTGCCGAACTATGGTTATCTCAGATAGTCAAAATGATTCAAATTTTGGCTGATATCATAAAAAGAAGGAATAGTAGAAAAGAATAGCAAACCAATTTGTAACCAGTTGATTTTTACGAATCCTTATATATATATATATATATATATATATATATATATATATATATATATATATATATATATATAATTCATGAACATTGAGGTCAAGAATAATACAGAAAGAAAAGGGTTAAGTAAAGAGACCTAATTATATAGCACTGAATCTGCTTTCAGCTAACCATTCACTCGAAACCTGAACTGAGTAGTTCATAGTCAAATCAAAGTATATCGAATGAATACTAAGGAATTAGCAGAAGGAGAAGAAAACTAGTTAAATATCAACCAATGAATATATTTGCATTCCAGTAGTCTCTGTAGTAGCCATTCAAAGAAAATCTTGTATTTATAATGAAGCCTATTGATTTTACTCTCCATTTTTTCTCTCTCCCTTCCTATCTATCTATCCTTTCTCCATCTTGTTTTGCTTCACTTTCAAGGTAATTGGATTGTAGACATTTCATAAGTGTCGAGATGTTTTATGTCATATGTACACATCAACTGAGAGAATTGAAGTTTAAATGTGTGCATGATAATTTTGACATTTTTCATCTACATGATTTCAGGGAAGATTCTTAAAGAGTTAACGTCTGGATTTGCTGTCAGCATCAGATATGAAAAAACAATCAGTCAGTGGTATGAATAGTCCAATCATCAAATATCACTTATCTGACATTGGATGCTAATTATTCTCTTTTTTCACAATGGAAGGGAAAACATATAACCTTAGGTAGCTCCATACAAACTTTCCATCACATTTTCGACAGAGACTACGGAAAAGAAGTAATGACAGTAAAAATAGGGATTATTACAACATAGGAAACTTCTTTACAGTTCTATCACTGACAAATGGTCATACGAACAACAGCTATCTAATATTTCCAAATCTTCACTTGCTGTCTAGTTCAGATT